GCTCTTTGTATAGACTAAACCATGAAAAGAGGAGGATTAGGCACCACGATTCTGTTCTGTGCAGACTACAATTTCAGTGGAATTTACAGGAGGACATTCAAAAAAGATTATTTCTTCCTTACAAAGCTAGTGGAAAGGAAAATTTCTTCCATTAATTTGCAATCCTTTAAAAACAAGACTCTATCATGTTATTAATGGGTACAATTTTTTTTTTATATAAACAATTGATACTTTAATCTCATTTGGTTAAAAGATGTATCCCTATCAGAGTGTCCTATTTCATCTCTGCACTGATTATGTACTGAGAAAGCATCATGATTAGGTAGTTACAATCAAATTCCGCTGCTTTGCTCTTCTGTTCACTTAATGCCACTGCCAGCACTAATAAACGATTTTAAAAAGTATTGGCACAAAAGTGAATACAGGAATTAAAGTTAAAAAATAAAACAAAGTTGAGGAAGGAAACAAAATGGGAAGGGGAAGATGTGTCAGAGCCTTGAGTATCTTTATGGAACATTCGCTACCCAACAATGTGAGCGTGAGGCCTCCCACAGACTCTGGCAATGTTGAGTTTATCTGTGGAGAGACTGCCTATATTTATCTACAGAGAAGGATTTATTAAGCAAATTAAGCAAGTACAAGGTAAATTTTAAACGAATTAAAAATAAAATTCATATATTTGCACCATCCATTTGTGAACAAGAAGCAACATCTTAATTACAATTAATTCCGACATAGTATGAAAGCAAACTTAATGGCCCTCTCTGCTAACAAAAACTCTTAGCTGTTCATTTAAGTAATAAAGTACTATATAAAAATATCTGATGAAGTAACTAATTCACACCAGGCCTCTTTAATGTGTTACAGTATTTCTGAGCTTCACAAACTATCCTCACTGCCTTTTGAAAGATCTTTTAAACTGAGCATTTTGTCATTAAAATGTAGTTGAGGAAAGAATTGAGAATCCAAGGAAAATGCAAGTGCGAATTGGTACAATTTTCTGAAGAGGTAGGTACAGCTTTGTAAGTCACTGGTATTTTTACAGAAGAGTTTTGATAAATATGGGTGTTAAAGCTATTGAAAAACTCTTGTATTTCACCTAGGAATCCCAATTCTGAGAATTTACCCTAAGGAAATAACCAGAAATGTATGGACAATAATAACAGTAGTTAAGTAAAATCAATCACTGCAAATTATCGAGAACATTTTGTCCCAGGCAGTGTGCTACATTTTACATAAATTACCATCTCATTTAATTCTCATAATAACTCTACGAGGCAGTTATTAATACTCTCATTTTTCAAACCAGAAAATAGAGGATTATAGGTTTAGTCCAAAGTCACAGAGTTGGTGAGTATGGTAGAGCTCGGGTCCAGACACTGCTCTATCTGAGCCTTACACCCAAGTCTTCAGCTAATGAGATGCTACTCAAAGAAAAGTCTAATAAGAAAATGGAGGACAAGAGTGTTCCTAACTTGGTAGTTTTACAGAATATTATTCATAATTATGAAGGGAAAAAAAAAACCCACAATCTGAAAACAACATAAATGTCCAAAAAAGAGATGGCCTACATGGATATTATGTAGCTCCTGATTTAACAGAGTAGTGAAGACACATTTTAGTAACACTGAAAAGAGTTCATTACATTTTAAGTGAAAAACAACAAAAACAAAACGCAACCACTGCCTTGGAGTCGGATCCAACTCATAGCGACCCCTCCTTGGGTTTCCGAGGCAGTATCCTACAGAAGTAGATTGCCCAACCTTCCTTCCAAGGAGTGGCTGGTGGGTTTGAACTGCCAGCCTTCTGGTTAGCAGTCAAATGCCTTAGGCACTATGC